TCCCCTCCCGGGCTCCAGCTGCGCTGGGCAAGCGCCGGCCGGGGGCGCAGGGTCTGGGGGCTGCCCGGCAAACCGTGAAGCCGGTAGCACTCGGGCAGCCCTTTCCCCGTGGCTGGGAGTGGGAGGGGGCGGAGTTAGGGCGGGGAAGGGGCGGAATTGGGGCAGGGCTGGGGGTGGGGAAATGGGCGGGACCAGGGCCCGTGGAGGGTCCTCTTTTTTTATTTAATAGATATGGTAACCCTAGCTTGATGAAGTTGCGATTGCCTGCCTGAGGTGCTCACTTCTCCTTTTGCTCCCTCCACTTGTCTTTCAGAGAGGTTTAACCAAGTTAAGAATCTTGGTTTCACTTTTGACCATGGCCTGGCCTAGGGTTGCCAACTCTCTAATCACACAAACCCAAACACCTTTGCTATGCCCCTTCCCTTAGGCCGTGCCTACTCCACCCCGCCTCCCTCCATCTCTCACTCTCCCCCACCCTCACTCGCTTTCACCGGGCTTGTGCAGAGGGTTGGGGTGTGGGAGGGGGTGCGGGCTCTGGGCTGGGAGGTGGGGACGAGGGGTCAGAGTGTGGGAGGGGGCTCCAGGCTGAGCCTGGGACAGGAGGTTAGGGTGCAGAAGAGGGTGTGGGGTGCAAGCTCCGGCCAGGAGGCGCTTACCTCGGGCAGCTCCCGGGCAGTGGGGCCAAGGCAGGCTCCCTACCTGCCCTGGCCCCGCGCTGCTCCGAGAAGCAGCTGGCATGTCTGGCAGCAGCTCCGGGGGGCAAGAGGGGATGCAGGGGGCTCCGTGTGCTGCCCGCGCCTTCAGGGCCCCCCCCGGGGCGGCAGGGACATGCCAGCCACTTTTGGAAGCGGGGCAGGGCAGGCCTTAGCCCCGCTGCACCACCAGACTTTCAGCACCTAAAATCTCCCAGTTTGCCTTCAGTAGCCTCCGGGAGATAGGGCGTGATTCCAGGAAACTCCCGGCAAAACCGGGAGGGTTGGCAACCCTATGGCCTGCCCATGGAAGCATGAAACATATCTGACACTGTAAAAAAGTGTGTTTTTTGGTTGTGCAATCTGCATCTTAACCATTTGATGACCTCATAACAGCAACACAGACTCTAGTAGGGTGACCAGATGTCCTGATTTTATAGGGACAGTCCCGATTTTTGGATCTTTTTCTTATATAGGCTCCTATTACTCCCCACCCCCATCCCGATTTTTCACACTTGCTGTCTGGTCACCCTAGATTCTAGTGACAAATCTGGTTTACTGTAAATCCCTTGTCAGTCCTCTCATTGTGGCTACTCCTTCACGCACAGTTTCTTCAGAATGTTGCATCACAGTTGCTCCGTGGCTTGAGCTACCATGATCACACTACGCCTGCCCTGTATGCCTTATAGTTGGTGGCTATAAAGGAGCAGGTTAAAAATCAGCAGTCCCAGTTTTAAAGTCATAGACCCTAATGGCTTTGGATCCTGATTATATCAAGGTCTACCTACTAGTGGAACTTGTACTAATGGCTCTTACTAAATGCCTTTGAGATGGACATTATCAACTTGAAAACTAGACATTTTCTAAAAACAGAGTTAAAATAATTTCAGCTATTATACCTGTTGCTTAATCACCCTGTTAATCTCTGCAGCTTCACAATAGTTTCCTTTTTTATAATGTTTTTTCATTCCGGTTGCTACATGAAACATTCACACAAAAACAATAGACTGACTGACTACACAGGAAGAGAATGAAAATGTCCATTATATGCCAAGTACTAGCTCATCAGCTGGTGTCAGTCAGCATAGCTCTATTAAAGTCTGTGGAGCTACAGCTGGTGTAAAAGTGAAGATCATGTCCAAGTTGCTGACAAACGAACAAAGAAATGAGACAGGAATTTTTCTTCCTTCAAACTCCAAATTTAGTAATCTGAGGTGCTATCTGCAACATTAGTAGGTGAAACGATTTCAGATCAAAGTCCAATATTGAAATTGAAAGCCTTTTACAAGCACACAATTCCTTCTGAAGTTGACAGGAAATCATGCTGCTGTTCTATTGGATCCTGCATTGTGGAACACATCTCCACGAAACCACCTCATTTTGTGTTGTCCAACCATCCAAAGGTGCTTCCAGAAAAATGTTTCTGTTCTCCCAGTTCCTTTCTTTTTTCTCTCAAAGTCATATCCTGCCATTGCTATTTTAGAAGTGTGGCATCTTACTGATATTATATTTGTTTTCTCCTTTTCTACAGCAGCTCCAGGGTTTTCAAAAATACTATTCTGTATACCGCTCAATCAAATGAAAAACTTTAGAAATATTTAGGCCTTTTCTAGAATCAGAGTCGCTCGGGTTTAACCATAAATTGGGTGAAAAACTGATTTAGTTAAACCTGTGCATTGTGGATAATCTTAATCCAATTCAAATCAGGTTTATATCAATTTGTCTTAAATTGATTACATTTAAATTTAATTAATATAAAACAGATTAAACTGCATTGAGTGTGTCTAGTTTTTCACTAGTGTAAATCACACTTTTGGTAAAACTGGTGCAAATTTTAATACAGACAAGGGGTAATGTTTCCAAAACAGCCCAAATGATTTAGGAGCCTAAATCTTTAAAGAGGCTCTAAGTGCCTCTGTCACTAATGAAAATTTTAACTAAGGCCTTAATTCTTCAAATTCTCTTTTTACATAAAGCACAAATATAAAGTTTTATCCATTTTCCAATAGATTTTGGCCAGATGGAGTTAAATTTTAGCAGAAGCATTCAAAAGGGTTTATCCTTCAGGTGATAAGAGAAAAGATACAATTAATCTGTTTCTTAATAATACAGACTTGTGTTCGACCTCTCATGCTCTAAGTGTTAGGCTTTGTCTACACTGGCAAGTGAAAAACAAAACTTTTGTCGTTCCGAGATGTTAAAAAAATTAAACACACACACCCCAAAAGACAAAAGTTTTGCTGACAACAAACACCAGTTTGAACAGCGTTTTGTCGGCAGGCTAACACCGCTTATTGAGGGTGGAAGTTTTTTGTCAGCAGGAGATCTCTCTCCTGCCAACAAACAGCGGCTACACTGCCTATCTTTTAGTGGTACGGCTGTAGCGGCACAGCCATGTCGCTAAAAACTGTGTAATGTACACATAGCCTTAGTTGTTCTACAGGTTTCACATTTTTAATGGCAGCTCTGACTTGAATCCTAGAGCAGTGGGAGACAGGTGTGAAGAATGGAAAAACAGTTTTAAAGCAACTACTGTGTGTGTAAAAACAACTTCAAAAAATTCTCAAATGTTAACTGTTGCCTAGTGCCTCTAATGAAAGAAAGCCGCTATGACGGTTGCCTCTTGTACTCTTTCCTGTTTTGTTAGCAAAACAAAATATGAACCAGGACTTTAAAAGTTTCCAGCTACAGAAGAAGAATTTAGATGGGCAATATATTTCAGATTTGCTTTATGCAAGGTTTTTGCTGGGAATTAATCAAGTTATTTCAGTGTTGGGGGACCCTTGTCTGAAAAAAAAAAATGCAAAAACTGCTATCCCTTCCTTCCAAGTACCTAGGGATTTCAGAAGCCTCTGAACACGGTACAATATGTACCTCATTGAAATGAGCTGAGGCAACCTGAACTGTCTTTTGTTACCTTAAATCTGACTCAAACATGCATATGCAAGTTGTTTTTGTGGACCTGCATTTCAGAGACACCATACAAGACACCCTTCCAAATGTGGTTACCTGAGCTGCATGTGAAATTTAGCATATACACTTTTATGTTGCAAAATGTGAGCATGAATTTAGCGTGGTGCAGAAATTTGGGGGGCTGACTCATGATTTCCCCTTGTTTGTATAATGGATACAGTTTTTATTTTAAATTGGAGGAGGAAGTCGATGGCATGGAAGAAATAACTTGTTTCTCTTTCCTGTGTATGCATCCTATCTGATGAACTAGCCCAGGGCATGACTGACTGGCATGCTCTCGGCGATTACCTATATGAAACCTAAGGTGCAGAGTTCAGACAAAAAATGTTGGGCTATTATATAAGCCATAGTCTACGTCAATGTTTCCCCAAGACAATGAGTCTTCTGAATTTCATCACTGTCAGAAAGCATCTCTCTAAGTTCCTTTGGGAAGCACTTGGTGTTTAGCTGTTTGCTAATTACTAGGTATCCAGATTAGTCTGTGGGCTCACAATTTAAGTGGACATACAAAATAGATTTTTTTTTAAATGAACTTTTACACAGTTGAGATTAGTCGGGAATAGAGTGACTACTCAAACTCCAGATTTATGCTCTATGGGTATGTATTTATGCTGCCTATTGTGTCCTCTTGGGTGATGCAAACTAAGAGGTCTCAGGATTGTCAGCTAGGTTTTTAGGGTAAAGTGCAGGTTAAGACATTCATCTGTAATAAAATAGTGGACACAGAAATACTTATTGACCAACAATGGACTTATTTTAACCTAATGTAAAATAACCCAATTTTTGATGAGTTGTCAAACAAGCAGGTGACTAAAACAAAAGTGTTTCAACTATTCAGCACAACAGAGTATATGATATCTGAGGACAGTTTATCAACTTTAGTCATAATATCTATGTTTAACTATCCCCTTCCTCTCCTCCTTAAAAAATACAAAGTTGTCCACCGATTGAATCAATTAGATATTGGATATGAAGAAAGGGAGCATAATCAAACACATGGCCTATGGGTTATGCTGTAATAAGCTTACATTTCTCCTACACACACAAAAAATCCATTTAACTTTGCAATCAGCGTACTCATAAGAGCCATGCTAGAGCTGATCATTATTGCATCAGAAGTTGCTTCTTCTGAGAACATGTTCTCACTTATCTTTAAGATACAGGTTAGCAAAACAGAATGTCTTTAAATACACCAGCTAGCACAACAGAAGCTGTCGCCATTGCCACTATTTAGAATGTAGCTTCCAAGACGTCTCTGTGGGAATTGGTAAAATCCAGAGTTCAATATTGTGGAAGGCCTTGTGTTCCGAGAGACAGCCTATACCAGATATTAACAAACGGTGTTCCTAATAGTCAATCACTAATCATAGAACATACTATATATAGAAAATGACAGCTTTTTTACTACATGTTCTCACATTCACTTCAGTTTTTACGATAGAAAATGACAGCTTTTTTACTTCTTATTCTCACATTCACTTCAGTTTTTAAATCCACTACTGCACAAAGAAAAAGAGTGCACCAGGGGAATACAGCTAATTATTGCTTTCAATATAAACAAACCATTAACTACCAGAAAGCATAGAAACCAGCTCCCTAAGGGCCCTAAACTTCTACTCACTTTCTGTGCATGAGGCAACTGGATCAGGGCTATCTTTTCTGAACATTCAACTCTACTCTAAGTTCTTCAGTCTTAAACACATATCAAAGGAAGTGCAGACCAAAATATAGGTCCTGGTCTACACTTAAAGATTTTACTATGTCAGTTAGGGGTGGGATTTTTGTTTTTAAACCAACAAAGCTATGTCTGTAAAAGTCCTACTGTACATACAGTTCCACCAGAATAGTTAATGTTGGTTTCCCGAACTAGCATAAACTACACTGGTAAAATCACTTTTATACTGATATCAGTGCATCCACACTAGAGCATTTTGCTAGTATAGCTATACTAGTAAAACTATACCAGCCAACCTCTCCTAGTGTAGACAAGGCCTAGAATGAGTCCACTGAAAACTTGTGTTAAGAATCAGAGTCCCCAGATGTACTTAAGTCAACTGTATATATACATATTTTTAAGAGTCAAACTACTATACAGTTTCCTTTAGAAGGTGGCAGAGTCAGATTTTTACCCATTTGTTTCTGGATGCCAGTATATCATTAGTCTGGTGATACAAGCACACTAGCGCTCCAGAAGCCCCACAACATACCTCGCGCAGCTGCTTGGAGCCATGCTGAGACCTTGGATTGCATCACTATCTGGGGAGAAGCACTGTTTCAGGAAGCTGTTGTGGTTAGCCACAGAAATAAAGCTTGTGTGAAAAGCAGATGTTCACGAGGGGCAAGAGCAGGATGCCAACTAGTGCTGGAAAAAGCTCAAGCAGCTCAGAAGAAAATACACTGAAACAAGAGATCAAATGAGACATTCTGGTAGGGGACATGTGATCTGTCCATTTTTGGATGAACTAGACAGGATTCTACAAAAATATAGTACTAGCCATTCCAGGCAGTATTTGGAGACTGGTGGTGGCTCTCTCCCCCTACTGAGGATGACTGGCTAGACCCACGGGAAAATGAGCAGGAGGATGCTGGAGAGGAGCTGTCCCTTTTTTGTGACTCAGGACCCTGACGACGGCCAGCTGGAAAGCCAGTCCCAGTTCTACTGTGTTACAATGGACCCAGTTCCTGCCCTGCATTGTCTGAGGCCGAACACCAGGCTGGAACTGAAGGGTCAGATCCCCTAGAACTTTGGCATCTAAATACCTATCTTTACAATCTATTTTTTATTGTTATTGTTGGTGGATGTGAGCTAGGAGCCCCCACCTCCCTCCCATCCTGCCCTTGTGCTGCTTCAAAATGGTGCCCCCAGCATGGTGCAGTGGAAGTTTGTACCCCACCCCTCCTCTGTCCTCCTAAGGAAAAAGGACAGGATTGGGAGACAGGATTCTAGCCCCAGTTCTGCCAAACTAACTCTAAAATAGTTCTGAATCAGTTAAAATTGAACCAGCAGAGGAGTTTAAGACTTGATGTAGACCTACTACAATCACAATTATACTGAAAGCAGTATTGAAATGTTAGCAGCAGTTATTTGGGAATACACTTTTATACAAGCATTCAAGGAGCATGAGCCTGTACTGGGACCACCAAAATTCTCTACTATATTCAGACCTTGTATGACTTTTGGACAAATCAGTAAACATCCCTGCACCTGAGCTTCAACATCTGCAGAACCAAGACAATGTCATGTAACCACCATGCTGTTACTAATTAAAGACAAATGCAGCAGCTGAATCTTCATTCCAGTGGTCCACGGACCATGAGTCCTATTCTCTTAAATACTCCAGGAGAAATACCACTAAAACAAATGTGTGGGTCTATCTGCTAGATCTAGTATACATGAACTTCGTATACCTATGGTGCAGAATGAATATTAATTTTAATCAAGAAAAGCTTGCATATGTGATGTTTCAGCTTTTTCTAGCAGCTAGTGCAATTCATAGATTCCAATGCCACTGTGATCATCCATTTTGACCTCCTGTATAACACAGGCCATAGACCTTCCCCAAAATAATAGCTAGAGCATTTATTTTAGAAAAACATCCAATCTTGATTTTAAAATTGTCAGTGAAAATCCACCACAACCCTTGGTAAGTTGCTCCAATGGTTAATTACTCTCACCATTAAATATTTACACCTTATTTCCCGTCTGAATTTGTTTAGCTTCAATTTCCAGCCACTAGATTGTGTTATATCTTTTTCTGTTAGAATTGACGAGCCTATTATTAAATACTTGTTCTCCATGTAGGTGCATATAAACTGTCACCCCTTAACATTCTCTTTGTTAAGCTAAATAGATTGAGCTCCTTGAGTCTATCACAAAAATCCTTTAATCATTCTCATGGCTCTTCTCTGAACCCTCTCCAATAACTCAACATCTTTCTTGAATTGTGGGTACCAGAACTAGATACAATATTCCAGCAGCAGTCACACCAGTGCCTAATAACAAGGTAAAATAACCTCTCTACTCCTACTCGAGGTTTCCAGTTTTTGCATTAGCCCTTTGTCCACAGCATTGCACTTGGAACAATGAAGAACAACAACAAACAAAATTATCAATGGAATACCCTAAAATAGAGAAAATATTCTTTTTTGAGCACACTGTCTTCAAGAACAAGTCAAATAACAGAAGCAAAAATAGAGTAAATAACTCTCTTGTGCATTCATATCATTGCTTCTAGAAAAACATTAAGTGAAGAAAGGAAATCCATCTGCACCTTGAATTTCATCAAGAATTCACATCAGTGTTTAAGTATTTATGTACCAACACATAAGACTGTTTTACAATGTTAAAATCATACACAGTAACGTAATATATATAGTGTTACTTTTTCATCTGGTGAGATTGCTGTACTAGTTTTCCAAGCAGAATAATTCAAAGTAACTTGTCTTTTACTGTAAGTATTGAGATTATTTAACTATTTAAAAATCTGGGAAAAAGTTATCTGACGTTTTAACGTTATAAATGGGTCAAAAGATTTTTTTAAAAATAAAAACAAAAAATGGCAAGTATTCAGCAAATATAAAAAACAACCTTTTCTTGAACTGAAATTAAAAGACTACAGTGTCTGGGGAAAATAATAAAATGAACAAAACATTTGATTTTGGAGAATAGCTGATATAAAACCAAACTAACTTTAAGAATAAGGGTTTTAAGATGTGCATTTCCCAAGTTAATCACAAAGGAACTATTACACTCAATTCTGTTAAAAGGATATAAAGTATTATTTTCAGGTTACTAGAAAAGTGAAATCTTTGAGTTTTGCAGATGCAACCTCAATTTGTATGTGCATCTGTTCAAATTTTTGTGTGAAGAAGCATTTGCATCTGGCATAGAGAGTCTGTATATTTATGTGTACACCCAAACTATGGCCACATTTACTCCTATGTGTTTTTAAAGCAAAAACAAGATTTAAAGATTAAACTTACCCGGTGACAAACTTCTGTTTTAATTTCTTTAAGAGCACGTTCAGAGAACACACAGCCACAATTCCGCAAAAAACAAAACCTTGGAAAAAAATAAAACCAGAGTAATTTGATTGTAACATTTTAGAAAATTTAGTTTACCAGTAACAGACATTTTATTTTATACATGTGTAATAAATAAATTAAACCAACACTGCAGATGGCAGCAAGTAATTTACCTGTTAGCTTTTTGTACACCTCCTTGTGGCTAATCAAGAGAAACACAAGTATGCCATAGCTAATTTGCATTAATGATAGTGAGACTCATTATAATTACTAACTAAACAAACAAAAATCAAACATTCTGAATTATGCTATGTACTTTGTTAATTTATTCTGACTAGTCTAATTTAGTTTATTTTTATACTATTTCAGTGAATACTAACAAGTTTACTACAACCTCTCAAAAATTAATGAATTCTTACAAGACCTCACTATACTTTGCTACTGATCCATGTAGGTTCCCCAGATCCTCTGAAGTATCTAAGCATTAATCAAACTCTCGTATTTGTATGAGGAGCACTCTGATGAGTGATGGACACTCTCCACCATGATTTTTCCTGTTGTGGCTGCTGCAAAGATCATATTCCTAGCCCATCACTTTCCTAATCCGTGTCGCCCCTTCCTTTGCACACCTCCACTGGCTCCACTTTCTCTATCACATCAAACATAAGCTGCTTGTATTAATTTTCAAGACCCTTCAGTCTATCCCCATTTTATCGTCTCTCATTCACGAATGAGCCACCAATCAGCCCACCAGCCTCTATCGCCTACTTGTTAAATTTTCAAATAAATTTCCTCATATATTTTCCATAGGCTTCCCCTCACACTTGTGAGATGCCCCCTGCAAACATGCACTAAGCTACCCATTATCCAAAATTATAATGATAATAAGGTTCCTTCAAAACCTCTCTCAAAAGCATTTAGGAAAAATGTGACCAAACTGGAAAGAGTCCACAGGAGAGCAATCAAAATGATAAAAGGTTCAGAAAACCTGACTTATGAGAAAAGGTTAAAAAAATCTGGGCATGTTTAGTTTTGAGTAAAGACAACTGAGGGAGGAGCTGATAACAGTCTTCCAATATTTTAAGGGCTGTATACAGAAAGAATTGTGATTAATAGTCCTCCATGAAGGCATGACAAGAAATAAGAGGCTTAATCTGCAGCAAGGGAGCTCTAGGTTAGACATTAGGAAAAACTTTCTAATTATAAGGGTAGTTAAGCTCTAGAGCAGGAAGCTTTTAAAAACAACTGGACAAACACCTGTCAGGGATGGTCTGTTTACTTGGTCCTGCCACAGTGCAGGGGGCTGGACTTGACTTCTCAAAGTCCCTTCCAGCCCTACATTTCTATGATTCTAAGATTCTATGTGTCTGTCAGGGAGGGTTTAGGTATACTTAATCCTGCCTCAGCACAGGGGGCTGCACTAGATGACCTCTGATGTCCATTCCAGCCCTACATTTCTATGATGTTTACAACAAAAAGTTGGTAATGGTTAGGCTGCTGAGACCACAGTCTATCATGCTGACCAATATGCTCTCACTGTTTCCTTGTACTCCCCAATCTGCATCGCTTTATTATCTCTTAATTTATAGATTGTAAGATCCTTAGGGCAGGGATTGTCTTTTTTTGTTGTTGTTCTTGTGTGACTGTACAGCGCCTAACACAATGAGGCCCTGGTCCATTAGTAAGGCTCGAAGGCACTACAGTAACACCAATAGTAAATAAATAATAATGTTGGGGCTATTCATAGTAATTCTCAAAGCATTTGATTTGAAAATTAATTTGAGAAGTGGATTAAACATAATGGCCATTTTTAAAAATATGAACTTAAGTAAAATGTAGAGTCTAAAAGCGGTTTAGCTAATTTTATGATTCCTACCATAATTCAGTTTTCCAGTGTTCAATATAAAATTTTTTGAAGTTAAGACAAACATAATTCTTACTTTTATACAATCCAAAATAACCATGTTACTGTGCATAAATAAATAACATAACAAATTTTCTGCTAACTACTAAATGAGCAGTATTGCCAATGGGAGCTATATTCTTAACATTGTCTTTGAGATATTCAGAAAGGGAAAGAGAAAAAAGTGTGAGACGGATCTGTTAATGATTCTGTATAAGGTTTATATGCTTTGGGAAAGAGCTTCCTTTCCAACAACCCGATATGGCAAAAAAAAAAAAAAAAAAAAAACAAAGCTTCAAAGTACCATTAAGTAAGAGTCATCCCCTCCTCCATCCTGAAACACTTGCTGACATTAAAAAGAAAGCATTCAGGAACCGATAAATGAGCAATTAGGCATTCACCTGCCTGACTGTTAGTTACTGAATATAGTACAATTTAAAATGGATTCTTGGAATGAATAAGCATTAAAGAAGAACATTTTTCTTGCCTGGGGTAATTATTTTGAGAGGCGGAATATTAGGTCAATCATCATCATAAAGAAAATGGGTGAGGAGATCTTGAACATAATTTGGTAGACTTCCACTCTAATTCCACAGATCTGCCACTATTACATTCCTCCAAAATAATGTGTCACAACAGAACTCCCTGGGGCTCCCCCCGCACCACTGAAGTTAATAGGAGTTTTGCAGTAGACTTTCAGAGGGAGAGGGATTAGAGCCCCCTAATGGAGTTATGACAATTTACAGCTGCTCAGGATCTGCCCTCCCAATATTTTAACAGTTTCTACAATATTAATTTACACAGTTCTAAGTAAAGTCCAGTTAAAGTTACATGTACGATACTAACCGATGCCTTCCATTCATTTCCAAGCCCACCACAGGGCAAATAAAGCGTGCACACTGGATGTCGTCATATTTATCACCTTTTGTGTTCCCTTTATCACCTTTCCAAGCTGGATTATCTGCAAGGTTCAGCTCTGTTACATTCTGGAAGAGACAAAGGTAAGTTTTTAAATTGTGTTCTAATGATGCTTGAGACATGTTGAAGTGGTGATGTTCCTGAAGATACATTTTCCTTTATGGCTTTGTAGTGGGGCAGTTGCCCCACTTTGGCAGAGGGGGGTGAAAGCAGGCTGGAGGGAGCCTGTGCAGAACCCGGCCAATCAGAGAAGGGCAGAAAGGCAGCCAATCAGGGCCAGGCTGGGCCCTACATAAAGGCTGCAAAGCAGAGGCAGCAGTCCCTTCCTGACAAGCAAGGGAGAAGGACTGGCTCCCTGTAGACAGAGCACCTAGGCGAGAGCAGTGCTGGGCAGGCTCAGGGGAGCAGAGCGAGAGCTCCGGCCTGTTACATGCCAGGCGGCGGCCCCTGACGAAAAGGGCCAAGAAGATATAAGGACCAAGGAGAAGTGGCCCAGCGTACACAGGGAAAAGAGGGGATTGAAGGAGGGCAGTGGGAGGCTACCGCTAGAGGGTTCTGTAGTGGGAAGGCCTGGGTCCTCCCCTCCCCTCTTACACCGCACCTTACCATGAAGGAGCATGGCCAAAGGACAGTGCCTGAGGCAAGGGACTAGACTTTGGGGCAGCAGGTGCAGACTGAGGACTGCTGATACCCCCGGAAGGGAGGAAAACAGAGCAGGGGCACAGCCAAAGGGCTGTGTCCAGAAGAGGATGCCGCAAGCCAGGGAGCAATGCGGGTCCCAGACAGCACAGCAGGCAATGGGTGGGACACCACCCGCAGAGGGCGCTCCACGGCTAGGACAGAGCTAATTCCTGGAGCAACCAGCAGGAGGCGCCGCGGTGGTGAGCACAACCTGTTATAGGCTTATTATATGAAGAAATGATGAAATTCAACAAAGACAAGTGCAAAGTACTACAGTTAGAAAGGAAAAATCAACGGCACAACTACAAAATGGAGAATAATTGGCGAGGGTGTAGTACTGCTGAAAAGGATCTGGGGTTATAGTGGAGCACAAATTGAATGAGTCAACAATGTGATGCAGTTGCATAAAAGACTAATATTCTGAGGTATATTAACAGGTGTGTCATCTATAAGGCACAGGAGGTAATTGTCCCACTCTACTCAGCACTGGTGAGGCCTCAACTGAAGTACTGTGTCCAATTCTGGGCACCATACTTTAGGAAAGATATGGACAAACCGAAGAGAGTCCAGAGGAGAGCAACAAAAATGCAAAGGTTAGGAAAATCTGATATGAGGAAAGGTTAAAAAAAATTGGGCATGTTTAGTCTTGAGAAAAGATAACTGAGGGGGGGACCTGATAACAGTTTTTCATATGTTATGGCTGTATATAAAGAGAACTGTGATCAGTAGTTCTCCATGCCCACTGAAGGTGGGGCAAGAAATAATGGGCTTAATCTGCAGCAAGGGAGATTTAGATTAGATATTAGGAAAATCTTTCTAACTATAAAGGTAGTTAAATCCTGGAATAGGCTTCCCAGGTAGGTTGCGGAATACCCATCACTGGAAATTGTTAAGAACAGTTTGGACAAACACCTGTCAGGGATGGTCCAGGTTCGCCTGGTTTTGCCTCAGCACAGGGGCCTGGACTTGATGACTTCACAAGGTCCCTTACAGTCCTTCGTTTCTATGATTCTATTTTATATTAGAGCCTTCAATCACATTTATAATGACAATGACATTTTAGTGTCACAGACTGTAAAGTTTTTATAAGTTCAGCCATACAGCAGCTCTGAAATTTTACACCTGCAAAATGTTTGACATATCTGGCATGGGAGACTCAGGATTCTATTCCTGACTGGCAGTGTTCTAACAGTGTCCTAATTCTGCAATACAGTATAAAGATTTAAAAATAAATATTTACAAAGTGGCCATATTGGCTCAATATCAACTAGCCTCTTTCCCAGTTTAGCCTCACTGTGCCTCTCTTTACCCACTGTTTAAAAGGTGATAATACCACCTGTGTTACAGGAGTGGTATGGGCTTGGCTATTAAATAGTGACATGCAAGGTATCATGAGTAAGGCTACGTTTTAGTCACAAGTATTTTTAGTAAAAGTCACAGACAGGTCACAGGCAGTAAACAAAAATTCATGGCCCGTGACCTGTCCATGACTTCTACTAAAAATACCCATGACTACAACTTGGGGGTCTGCCTGGAGGCCCCGCAGGTGCTGCGGGAGGGCGGCCCAGATGGTGTGGACGGGGGGAGGGCAGCGGCGTGCGGCCTGGGATCCCACTGGTGCGGGAAATTTTGGCGAGGCCGGCTGGCTCCCTACCTGGCTCTGCGTCTCTCCCCACTGCAGCAGCAGAGTTTGGGTGTGGGAGGGAGAAGGGGGCTGGGGCACAGGACGGGGTGAGGTGGGCTCTGGGCGGCGCTTACTTGGCGGGCTCCCCGGAAGCAGCAACATCCCCCTTGCTCAGCTCTTAGGCGGAGGCATGGCCAGGCAGCTCTGTGACAATCCCACAGCCTTAATCATGAGCTATTCACAGAGCAAAAGGTGATCCAAATGCAGCTCTAAATTCTATGAGGTGACATGGGCAACTCTCATGTTTAATGAAGAAGTGCAGCTTACGAAGACAACACGGTACAGCATGCAATACTCCACTTCAGGACAGGACAAATGCCTGTTTGGATCAAGATGGAGTACAGCAACTGGGTGTAGTAGTTTCCACAGGTTGCATCCTCACAGTATAGAAGAAAGTGACTGAAATCTGCTCCATTTTATACAGACTGGGTACAGACTTTGGCTGCCTAGCAATTTGAGATTGTCACCATTAGTTAAAAGTATGTGTTCCCCTCCCATACAATATATCATAAAAAGACAGATAGCCTGCAGTATAGCAGCAGTGTCTCCGATATTGTAAGCCAACACAACTGCTACCAAAGTATCAGACTGCCTAGAAATGAGATGCTAAATTTACATGCTATATAAGAATTTACAAACTTATTTGCTAAACTTTCCATTTTGAACTGGAAAGAGTGCCAGAACAGTACTTGAAAAATTAAGATATTAATTGTCTGCCTTTTAGAATCAGATTTAAATTTTGGCATCCACTTACCTTAATGCTCCTGATATATGATGCAGCCTGCACAAGCGATTTATCAGATGACTTATCCAGTAAAAATTCAATGATAGCATCTTTGTTATACAGCCTACAACATAAAATTTGTAGTCAAAATTCTGACTTTCATAAACTACATTTATTCAAAAATTAGTATTTTTATCAAGAAAGCTAAAGAATAAACAATCATACCTGCCCAGCTCACAGGCTACAATTGGTCTCCTTAGTTCTTCTTGACTCAGTGTGCAGTAGTACCACTGTGCCACTAATTCTGCATTTTTGTCAACCTGAAGGAGGAAAAAACACTGGTTTATCATTCATTTCAGATGGATTTTTCCCACTGGCAGATTTATCATTCAAACCTTTACATTTGAAACCAGCACCCACACCCTACAAAATGACAAACAACCACCCTCTGGGCTCAAATTCACCTGATAAAATGCTTTTTCAAAACTTTCAGTGAAGATTCTGCACATTTGCTAGGTTAGACCTTGATTTAGTGTTATGGGAAACAAGTGTTTTGCCTATGTCTGACTTGGAGCCCAATCCTGCTAACCTTTACTCATGCAAGTAGCCCCACTGATTTCAATAGGACTCCTGTCAGACAAATGTCTAACTGCATGTGTTACCACTGCATTAGATTATAAACTCAACTAGGAAGGTGGAGAGGGACAGCAGAGGGAGTGTCTTCTAGTGCTATGGTTTTCAACCTGTGGTCTGCGGACTGCTGGAAGTCTGAAGACTATGTCTAAGGGGTCTGCAAAAAGTTGTCATTATCACAGAACAGCAGCTTTTAACCTTGGGTCCACAGACTATGTCTAAGACTTCCAAAGGGGTCCGTGCCTCCATTTGGAATTTTTGAGGGGTCTGAAAATGGAAAAAAAAGTTGAAAACCACTGTTCTAGTGGTTCCAACCTTTTTGTTGGAGCCCCTTCCTTGGGATGGATTGAAAAAGGACAATGTTGTTCCTTATATTTTGTCTATTATCATCTGTTCTCTATTCTTCTGTCTTCCCCCCCTCCTCTCTCTTCCCTCACTCATCTGTTAAAGTTTTTCTGCTCACTTGTCTCTTTCCACCTGTTCCTCTTCTCCCCTAAGGCTGTGGCTGCCTGTCGATATGACCCAATGCTAAGGCAAGTGAAACGAGAGCAGAAAAGCAAAGTTTGGGCTGGTAGGCTGTTGCCTGAGCCTACAACCTGTAAATGTGAACTACTACTTCAGCTGAGCACATTGTGGGCCGGAAGAGAAATAGGAAGAGAATATGGATGGATTTAAAACAGCTGCTTGGTGCTTTATACATGGCAAAATGTTTGCCATGTTTGTGTACACTCATGGGGATGGCCATGAGGTCCTGCAGCTTTTTCCATTCACACTGATTCTCTCCTCTGATCTGCCCCTCAAGGCAAGAGCAGATAAAATCATTGAGAACACTGTACATGCTTGATACATTAAAAAAAAATAGAAGAGATCTAACTAGCTGTCAGAATGCCTTTAGTGCCATAGTGTAATACAGACATTGCCATACTGAATCAGATCATTGATCCATCTTGTCCATTATTCTGTCTCCAGGAGTAGCCAATACTGGATGTCTTCAGAGGAATAACTGCCCATAGGGGAAGTTTCTTCCTAACTCCATGCAGCTAGTGGGTTGGCTTATCCCCAGAAACACGGGTGCTTACATCCGATTGGACAAAAAGTGCATAATGTAACCATAGCTAGCATCCAAGAATGCACCCATAGGAACACACAACCCCTTTTGAATCTCCCTGAACTGCTGGCTATCACTACCATGTAGCGGTGAACAGCAGGTGAGTGCCATGCTGTGCAATAAGTGGCGCACTCTGCCCGTTTTACTGGCATGAAGTCTAGCTTCATTCCCATAACAAGCCGTCACAAAAAGCTGCCGCGCTCGGTCAGTGTCAGATAAAGAACAACCTCCACCTGGAAAAACAGGCTGCAGCCTCACATTTCCCCCCGGGGGTCTGCAGGGGGGAGAGAGAGATTCCAGAGGGGTTTGCAATCGCCAGCTCCGAGACTCAGGGCTATTTCTCTAAGAGTCACTAACAGGCTTACAGCGGGGATCTCCAGCTGTTTTACTAGGGGAATCCCCTGGCTTCCTGTTCAAACCTCGACTGCAGGCCCAGCTCCCCCTCAGTGACCAGGCTTTCCACACCCCCGGGGGGGCTCCAATCCCCGCCCCCCCCCCGTACCCTCGCGGACCGGGCCAGCCGCCCCCAGCCATGGCTCCCTGGACCACACTCCTACCTTCTCGACCTTACGAGGCCCTTTCACTAATTCGTGTCTCTTGGGGATGGTCCCCCCGTCGCAACCCATCGTTCCCTTCCAATCTGCACTTCCGCGTCGTCCCCTCTCCCACAACAAACGTACTTCCGGTAGGATGAAGAGTGCTTCCGGCGCACGAGGATGACGCTCCAGGGACTTGGGTTGCTAAGGTCCCCTAGCAACCAGTCACCCGAGGGGTGGGGGAAGGGGAGGAGGTTGAGGCTGTGGCCTTGAGCTCAGTGTCCGTCCCTGTATGGATTCAGTGGCTGGTGGGAGGGCCCATCCTGATCCCACACTAGGGCCCTGGGAAATACGCACTGTATCACAGAGCACTACAGGGCCCCCACAGGTCACCCCAAACCTGCACGCACAGGCACTGGGGGTTGGGCCCTGGCACACAGGAATGGCACTGACACACAGCCACATGGGGATTGGCTTTGGCACATGGGGATGAACACTGATATACAGGGGTACATGGGGATAGGCACTGACACACAGGGATGGGTACTAACATACAGATACATGGGGACGGGCACTAGGGTTGCCAACCCTCCAGGATTGTCCGGGAGTCTCCAGGAATTAAAGATTAATCTTTAATTACAGATTATGTCATGTGATGAATCCTCCAGGAATACACTCAACCAAAATTGGCAACCCGTGTGGGCACTGACAGATGGGGGTGGGCACTGACATATAGGCGCATGGAGATGGGCCCTGGGTCATGGGGCTGGGCACTGACGTACAAGCACATGGGGATGGTCACTTAGACACAGGGACGGGAACTGATATATAGGCACACTAGAATGGCACAAACATATGGGGATGGGCACTGGCATGAAGGCACACAGGGACAGCATGGGCACCTTAGGGTTGCCACCTGCCCAGGTTTTCCCAAGATCATCCCTTTTTTGAGGTAGCTGTCCTGGGAAATCTGTAAGGGTCCTCAGTATGAACTGCCAGCTGTCCAGTTTTTATGGGGGTCAGGACCATCCTGGATGTTGTGGGGTTTTGTACCTCAGAGGTGGCAACCCTCGGGTATATGGGGATGGACATTGGCATAGAGGCACACCATGACAGCACAGGCACATAGGGGTGGGCACTGACATATTGGGAAGCTAAGATGGCACAGGTATAAGGGCCAGACACTAGCATGTCGGCACACAGGGACAGCACAGGCACAAAACACAGAGGACTGGGCATTGGCATGTAGGCACACAAGGATGGCATGGGCACATGGGGATGGACATTGGCATATTTGCACACAGGGATAACACACAAAGACGGGTCCTGGCACACAGGGACAAAAACCTGGGCCTGGGGACATGAGAATAGGTCAACAGAATGGACTCATGCACTGGCAGGCATGAATGAAATGAGCCCTTTTCTGAACCTTTTTCAGATTTCATTGGCCAGCCTCTGAGAACAGACTGCCTTTAGGGTCTCTCTTTTGTGTACCTTTGACCTTGATTTATGTCAGTGTGAAAGCAAAGCAGCAATAGTGATGTCGCTCTCTCTCCCTGTCTGTCTCTCTCACATACACACTTCTCATGCACTTCATTTTACCTCCTCCAGCTCCTTCACCTTCACACACAAAAAAAGGTCAAATTTTGCTGCCCTTACTCTGGCAAAATTCCCATTGACTGTGGGAATTTTTCGAAAGTTAAGATTGCAGGATTGTGGTTTACTGCGATGCCTCGTGCGTCCATTCAGTAAATTTCAAGGTCCATTCAGACCATGTCCTTAGTGCTGAGACTCTAAAAGGATGACAGTCATCATGTGGACACCCTCCGACTGAGAACTAAACTAAGACTAGATTTCACATAGGCCACTGAAAGAGGCAACAGAAAGGTTGAATTTAAACACGCAGCCTATAAGTAAAAGGTACTATATCCTTCTACCAAATCCTGGGCCAGTCTCTTTAATAAACCATTTTCATTATATTAAGACCCTTGTGTTTTTTAGTAATTTACTCTTCTTGTACCTGAATGTGATGCTTGCAATACTGTTTATAGTGCAATGAAATTTTCCTTTAAAACCCCTCCAATGATTACTGTTGGATTTTGTGCAGTAAAATTACTTGCCCATTTTATATTTGAAAATCCCCACCTTAACATGTATCCTTTTCCATTCTTTCTTTGTTGATAGGAATAACAAATAGTAATAGTTATGTTGGTGTTCAGTTTCTTTCAAGAGAAAATATTACTGAAACTTCCCCATCAAAGGGCCTACTTCTGCCCTGGATTTATACATACACCTCTACCCCGATATAATGCGACCCGATATAACACGAATTTGGATATAACACGGTAAAGCAGTGCTCCGGGGGGGTCAGGGGGGACGGGGCTGCGCACTCCGGTGGATCAAAGCAAGTTCAATATTCCGCAGTTTCACCTATAACGCAGTAAGATTTTTTGGCTTCCGAGGACAGCGTTATATCGAGGTAGAGGTGTATACTATATTAGACTTCTTTGTGGTTGTTTCTTAGGTGCTCTTCAGCAAGCCATAGCTCAGAGTTACAAAACCTACTTAATTGATACCATTGTTTAAACTGATTCAAAGCAGAATTTGTTTCTGTTTGTTTTTGTTTTTTGTTTTGATAAGACGGTTCTAAAATTAAAATGCTTTCAGAAAACACAGTTAGGAAAATATGGGGAAATGAACAAACAACTGGTTCAGCTATTAGTCTGAATTGATAGAATTAGCCTCATCACTACTTGTTCCTGTTCTCGCTCCCTTTTCTTGCATCAAATAACTGGAAAGAGATACCTAAACCAAGTATCCCATCTCCTGGCCTGCCCAATTAAGTCTGTGAGAGAGTTGTTAAGGACTTAGGCACAACATAATTTTTGCAATGGTATATTGATAAATTAAATATATTTTTATCAATATGTTATTTGTTAATGTTTTGTGAACTACAAAAATTGTAAAACTCATTTAAAAGGGAAAATAGAAGAACAAAATTAAACATCGGAAATGCAGAGAACAAATTTCTGCAGATATCAGGTCAGGCCAAAATATGTACAGTGTGCTCAAAAGAAAGAGCAGCTTAAATATTTTTTCTTTGCACTTCCATTGTAAATCTGTCTGAATGCAGCTGTTTCAGCAATGCATTCTGTTGCATGTTGGAACATTACACTGAGGCAGCCAAATTTTCTTTACAGGGACAAATTGCACCCAAATTTTTGCATCCACAAATGAATTGTGACTGCAAATACTGGCAAAACTATCTGCCTGACTACCAGAATTATACAGATACAAGTTGTACCTACAAAAGGAAGACAAGACTTGAAAATTTAAGCCATATTTTTTAAAAAATAAATTAATTGGTAAAAAAAAATACAAAACAACACACAAAAACCTATTTAGGTATTTATATGGCCCCCATCACTATAATATCTGAACACCAGAGAGAGAGCATAATCATACAAAAAGTCATTGAATCAAATTCCTGAACTATGCAGAAGTGTCCTCAAAATGAGCGCACATGTATCCTGCAAGAGCAGCATTACTGTGCACCCATATTCTGGCCAGCAGCAACCCAATAAACGGATTATTCCTGTCTTGACATTCACCCTCATTTTGCATGAACAACCTGCATGGATCTTATGTGTGTTTAGTGATCATAAACATGCTGACCATGCTCCCTAAACTTTGAGGCCAGTTCTGTAATGGTCCATTATAGCTTCTTTCATGGAAGACCTGTGAAGCAGTAGTTGCTCCGTGGGTTTAGAGGAGAACCAGAATGGGGAACACAGCTTTCTCTATGGTGCTGGGTATGGGTTTTCTGAGGCCTATATACACATAATCTGCCAGAATTTGTTCCATAATGTGCTCATAACATTGTAATATGAAAGATCTGTAAATGACATTTTATTAAAAATATCCGTAGATTAAAACAAATACGGTAAACAATCCCCTGGAAAAGGGAGAATGATGATGGCTTCATATAAAAATGTATCACAGTTTAAATCTTGGTCTATCAGGAAAACCAGTAAAACACTTACATTTCCAAGTGAAAAAGAATAGAAAAATATATTTAACTGCTTTGTTTGGAAAGATAAGAAATCAGACAAATAATAAAATAATTGTATAACAATGCTCTATGGCAATTTTTGCCAAGCCACTCAGAGGATTGATTGGAAGGGTTGACTCAGTATTTTCCAGACAGTGCTCTAAACTGTTGTGTGGAAAGTACAAATTCTATTCCTGGTCATAGTGGGTATTTCTACACAGCCCGTGGGAGTCAGCCTCCTAGCCTAGGGTGATAGACGGCTTTCACTAGCACTCTAAAAATAGGTGTATAGACAGCGCTTTGAAATTGCAGCTTGGGCTGGAGCACAAGCTCTGAAGCCTAGGAGGGGTTGAGTTTCACTGTCACTTCAAAGCGCTATCTATACATCTGTTTTTAGAGCACCAGAGCATGCCCCACTAACCCAAATCTGTCAACCCAGACTGGGACGCCGAGGCTTGCTGCCGCAGCCTGTGTAACGTTCCTAGTCTCTCCTGCTCTCAGGGCCTTAGTACACCTTTCATTGCCCAACAGCAACCCCTACAGGGTATGGCTGATTTAAGACTGGCATTTGGGTTCTTTGTGGAGTCCTGCCTTCCTCGGCTCTCAGGATACCATAGTTGAGGGGTTAAAACCCAGAAATAGGGGGAGATCCTAAAGTTTTCACCAGGATTCTATTCTAAGAATGGAAAAACTTCTTCATTCCATCATTGCTCTAAACTGCTGAGTGTATTTAGACAGCTCATCAGCTTGATTTTGAAGTTCCTGCACGGCACCTGTATTTGGATACTGCACTGCCGCATTTTTGGTGGCAACAGCCAAGTTCTTCAGCAGGCTACAAAACTGGCTGCTGCTGCAGAGGATGTCATTCCGAATATCCTTTTCTTGAGTTTCCTGACAGAGAGAATCTACCAACTTTTGTCCCACCATAATGATCAGTTTGCTCTGTGCTATGAAGACTTCAGGCGGTTGATTATTGCTAAGACTACTGGTAAATACCCTAATGGCCTTGTGAAGGCCACCAAAATACAGTCTACAGGTTTCTGAGAGAGTGATTTTCTTTGCCAAGTCCAGGTTGTTCTGAATATTATGCTTTTTTGAAGGTGGGAAAACCTAAAAAAGGGAAAAGAAAACAAGAAAGATATTCAGTTTGGTAACACAGAAATTGTCTCCTTATCCTGTATTCTCCTGTAGTTTCAATTAAATAAATTATTCGTCTTGTCGCTGCAGCTGATTTGCCACAGCCCCAAAATTGTCACAGCCTGGAGACCTTTTGTAATTATAAAGCACTATTTCTAGCTTTGGTAGGCCATGCAATATCAGATCTTAAAATGATATGATCCTAACTGTAATCTACCTTTTGCCCACATACACACACTTCACTTACAACATGATTTTAGTAGCTGACGTCACAGGAACTGTTGGAGTTAAAAATCAATGCTTTAAAAAGGCTGAACACTTGGAATTCTAGTTTTCAAATACTATAAAGCATTTAGGCCTGATTGTACAAGGTATTGGCTTCAGGGGAGTTGTGGGTAATCAGAAATCTGAAAATCAAGGCTTTCATCTCTTATCATGGCCTTTGAGATATTAGCTGGTTCAGCCATACTCAAAATAAAGTGAAAAGGGCAAGACAGTAAATAATGCTATGATTTAAAATTCCAGGATCTCATGACATGAGGATTAGAAGGACTTCCCTAGACTAGTACAAATGCCCAAGCACTGGTCCCGGACAAAAGATCAGTAAAAAAAGAAAAAAAAATCCCTTCATAAAAATTTATTTTTCCAGTCAAATTCTAGCTTTTTAAAATGTCAACAAAGTGTAGAAGCCATATATAACTTCAGGGACCAAAAGCCTTTACTAGCAACAATTTTCAAAATCAGAAATACCTTTGTTTTTAAATCTGCATTCTTCTTTGCCACCTCTTTAGCTGAAAGGCTTTTTTGTGCCTGTTCCAACCCAGGAGACTTCTGAAAAATGAAAACACTTTAAATGATTTATATATTGTTTCAACATACTATGTCAGGTTTTGTTTTAGATAGTGGCATAAGAATTCCTTGTTTTAAAACTTACATGCAGCCAAAATGTTGCTACTGTATACAATGACACCTGCTGTTAGAAGCGTAACTGATCAGCTGTAATTTCTACTACAGAATTTAGGAGCTGACCCTGAAAGGAGTAGTAGCATCGGGCCTATTATCAATGAACTACTTCCAGCTAATGATAGTATTCCAGTTATGACAGAGCCATTTACTGTCTGATACTTGTTCTTTCTACTCTGTTCCCAGAGTAACTTCCAATATTGTTTAAGTCGAGATATTATTTCCTGGCATTTGATTTAAATACTTTCTCTCGCTCTCTTTCAGGGTTTTATACTGCTGCCCATAGTATCTGAGTGCCTTCCGTGTAAAAGCAAGAGCTAGACCAATGTTCCTAGTGAGCTTCTTGGAGTCGCTGGCATTTCTCCCTTTCGGGGAAAATTACTCAACTGACAAACACCTGGAAAATTAATAAATAGGTCAGGTAATCTACAGTATAAGATTAAGTTGCTTAGACCATTTGGTTTATGTTTTAACACATTTTGTAAATTACCCCTACATCTCAAAGCCACATTTTCTAGCAAATCACAAACACGGAAGCTGACATTTCCTGCATCTGGGCACCGTAGTTGATGTGCACCCAAAACACAAAATTGTGCCATAACCATTAACGTTAAATATGCTGACACGAAACAAATAGCACCCTAAAGAAACACATTGTTTGAAGCTGGGCTGAAAATTTAGCCCTAAGCACATCTGGGTGGTGAGGTTCAAGAATTGCTCTCTAAGAATGGACAAGCCCCACTTCTCTAGTCCTTCTATATTTGACTGGCTGCCTTGGTTGTGGCTGCTGTGGCACTCGTAGCCACAGCACTCCCAAAGGCCTGGAGGTAGGCAATCAGGCTAGCAGGTGAAACTGAATATAAACCAAAGCGAGGTTTGTGATAAAACAAAGTTAAAATAGAGCAAGTAAACTTACCTGCAAACAACATGAAGCAGAAAATTGGCAGCAAATCATGTTACACTGACCTGTAACTGAACATAATCACAGTCTTCAGTGACATTTTCTCTTGATTTCTCAGAAGACACTTTGTTTTTGTTTGGTTTATCCAAAGTATTTCTTTGAAGTGAATCAGGTTCTCTTCTTCTGGGTATTGGGATCGGCTTTGCCATTTTATGATCTGTACCAATTTTTGGTGTCTTGGTCTCTTGTTCCTTGCAATTCTTTTTGAAGAGAAGCTTTCCATTAGCTATGATGATAGATACAAATCTCTTGATATCATCTGGAATTGTGCGGGCTACCATAACAAACCGATCAAGGTCATCTGGGTTATTCTGAGGTTTCTTAATGACCAGAACTTCCAGTGACCAGTTGCAGTTATTCAGTGCTTCCCTTGTTTCTACCAAGATCTGGAATGAGTCTGTAAGAATTTTCAGTTGTGTTTTAATTCTGGTTTGAAGGTTATTGTCAGTGACGCAAGAGGCATTCACCTTGATGGCTTGAGCAAAGTCCAAGAATTCTCCCAAAGATACTTTTATGTGATCAATTGCTCTATGGATTTCCTCAAGGTTTGTCTCCAGGTGTTCCCGGAATCTCCACTTACTGCTTACAAAAATCATCAGACTTGCAACTGAACTGGATACACTGTGCTGCAGCTTGGTCAATGCTTCTATGGCTAAGTCAAGCGCCAATTCAATTTCTTTTGCAGGTTCTTCTGATGATGACATAGAAGAGGACTCCGCAGAAGTGCTTGATAATGTAGATAGGGTACTGGTTCTACTGTCCACACTGGAAACTGATAACCTGTCTTGGTCTAATTTGGAATCTTTTGACAGCTGTGGAGGAATGTTGTAAGTATGGTTTCCAAAACTACTGTTGTTTTTTTCAGTCCCTTTCCTGTGCTGTAAAGCAGTAGGCAGCACTTTTGGAGTATCATAAACATTTGGTTCAGAGTTCTGTTGCTCAACCCTTGGAGTCAGAAAGCTTGGTGGAACATGATAGTTACTGTTTTTCTGCAAAAGTTGCATGTCACATGAGGATGGTTCATTATAACGAGGGATATCAGGAAAGGTTAATTTTCTCTGTGTTGGTGGGACATCATACATTTGTGGATTCACTGATTTGCTTTTGATATTTGTTGATGGAACATTTTGCAAACTAGAACCATATCTGGCTGGCGGTATGTCATACAGCACCTGCTTTTCCAGGGAACGATCGGAAGGATCTTTTTTTAAACCCATTTTTTCAGGTGATACCGGAATATCATAAATCCATTCTGACTTCCGAGGATTTGGCAAGGTAGTATAATGACCCAAACATTTTATTTGAGACAAATTTTGTAGTGAAATGTCATGGTCTCTTGCAGTTGTGGGGGGGACATCATACACCTGGAAAGCAGTACACAAGGTTTACAAGCGGCATTTAGAAATATAAGGTCAGATCCATAGGCATAGGTCAATGAAATCAATGTAGCTATGCCGATTTATACCAGCTGTGGTTCTGGCACATAGTTCTAATTCTGCTTCCTCTCTGAAATGCACAATCACATTGCAAATATGAAATATCTACTATTTTGACCAAGTATATTTTTGTCACATCCACAGATTATCAAACTGCAAGGTAATGTCGATCAAGGACAGTTTTATATAGTGAAGCAAACAAGATTTCATGAGCCTGTTAACTAGCAGAACTGATTCCAACCTCTTTAATTTCCAGTAGTCATATACACACATGCACACAAGCAAATTAAAAAAAAAATGCACAGCTGACCACTCTAAAATAATTGCACTGTGTTTACATTTTCAAAGGCTTCCTGCGATGCATACTGATCTTATTCAATGGCATACAATAGCTGCTTGTGTACATCTGACCTCTACAGCTGAAGAATGGTGACTGATTCGGGTGCAGTAAGGCCAATATAAGAATAATTATACATTTCAGGCCATATAGTGCTTTGCTGCTTCACAAGGGTAGTGGGGAGGGAGTTCAAGATGCAACAGGAGTGTGCAGTCACTGGGCACAATTGCAGAGTCTGTGGTTTGCCAAGGTTTCCAGGGGTGCAAGACACCCTCACAAGTGGCAGGGAAGATGTGGATCCCTGACTTTCCCCTCTTCATTGGTCCATGCAGCTGGCCAGATATACAAGGCGTGGGCAAGCTGCACCTCTAATGGCTCCCCTGAACAATGGGATGCTCACTGAGACACAATCCCTCCCAGAGTTTAAGCTGGGGTGTGCCGCTTCACACTAGCCCCAAATCAAGCCAGTGTCCACTCATCACGACTGAGCCTACAGTTTTCACTTTTCACCCAAGGATCTCAAAATGCTTTACAAATACTGGTGAAGTCTCACCACATCCCCATGAGGTGTAAGTATTACGTATTTAAAACTGTAAGTTCTTTGGAACATGGATCTCATTATCTATTTGGCTATCCTTGTAAAGCTCCCAGCACACTTTTTGGCATGATACAATTATTATTAATAATAATATAATTCCTATTTTTAAGTGGATACACTGTGATACACATAGATTAGGTGTCTTGCCCAAGGTTGTGCATGAGTCATTGGCAGAGCTATAGCCACTAGACCACATTCTCTTCTTACAATACAATGCAAGTTATTTGTTTCTGCTTCAAGGTTACAAACATGCAGATATTCAAGAATATAAGAATCTGACATCTGTTTTACTTACCAAATAGTTCCTTGAGTCACCTTTTTTGGTGACAATGTCACTTTAAATATAGTAAGCAAACAAATACAATGATAGTTCCATCTCCAGCAGATATCCAGTATAACTAGTCTCATTTCTTACTTTAAACTTACTTAATATTAAAAATAAAAAATCCACCAAATGTGGGCAGGTTTAGAATTCAAAATGACCTTGACAAATTGGAGAATTGATCTGAAATCTATAAGATTAAATTCAATGCAAAGTGCACTTAAGAAAGAAAAAAAGCACAAATACAAAAGAGGAAATACAAAAACGGCTAGGTAATACTAATGTAGAGAAGGATTTGGGGAGAGGGTTATAGTGGATCACAAATTGAATGTGAGTCAACTATGTAATGGAGTTGCAAAAAAAGGCTAGTACTCTGGGGTGTATTAAAGGAGCATTGTATGTAAGACTTGGGAGGTAATTGTCATGCTCTACTCTACTGGAGTATTGTGTCCAGTTTGGGGCACCACACATTAAGAAACATGAACAAAATGGAGAAATTCCAGAGGAGAGAAACAAAATGATAAAAGGTTTAGAAAACCTGATCTATGGGGGAAAGTTAAAAAAATGAGTATGTTTAGACTTGAGGAAAAAAAGACCAAGGGGGGGACTTGATAACAGTTTTCAAATATGTTAAGGGCTGTTATAAAGAGGACCGTGATCAACTGTTCTCCATGTCCTCTAAAGGTAGGAAAAGAAATAATGGGCTTAATCTGTCGCAAGGGAGATTTAGGTTAGATATTAGGAAAAACTTTCCAACTATAAGGACAGTTAAGTTCTGGAATAGGTTACCAAGGTAGTTGGTGGAATCCCCATCACTGGAGTTTTTTAAGAACAGGTTAGACAAACACCTGTCAAGGATCATCTATGACAGGTGCACTTGGCCCTGTCTCAGCACAGGGGGAGGGACTAGATACCTCAAGATCCCTTCCAGTCCTACATGTCTATGGTTCTATGATATTAAAGAAATGTAACATTCAAGTAGTGCTGTTTTTATGTTTATTCTTCTTAGCAGATTGAAGGCACTTAACTATTGTGCCGGTGCCCCACCTCACATCAGAGGCATGTACAGCATATTAGATTAACCATACACCTTTTCATGTGTTCTGCTGTATGAGTGTGACAGTATTAATGAGAGACTATTCTCTGCCATTCAGTGAATAACACTTACACTGCCCCCTGGAGAGTCTTGCTGGACATAGATTTCTGCCTTTTCCGAGCTGGATGGGATGTCATAAAGCTGTTGCTGCTCTTCCTGGATATATTCTTTGGAGAGGATCGGCATAGAGCCCTTTCTGGCTGTGGGTGGAGTGGCACACCTCTAATAAAATACAAAAGTAAGGTTGACTTAAATACTGTTTATCATAGCACCAACTTGAAGACTGAGGGACATAACTGCCTTGAGTTCATGCAGGTATTCTGTGTGTGTACTCAGAGCAGGATACAGTTCTTAGAATCTACTGGAGTGGACTGTTGAATAAAATCATAATGCTGTAGGGAGGGGAGATGGGCACTAGGTGGCGCAGTTGGATGTTACACTTAATTTTTGAAGATTTGGATCCAAATATATTATTTTAAAAAATCTATCAAATTTAAAAGAGAATGAGATTCTTATCGTTTTTTTTAACTTCCTATAGAATTCTCTACCAATCTTTATAGCAGAGTTCAAACAATAAATGAATAGAAAAGTTATAATTTACTTTTAAATTTTCTAGCACTGTTGCATATGATAAAGAACTCAGAAGTCCTGAATTCCAGTCCCACTTGATGGACATATTCAGCGACATGACAGGACTCACCTGAGTGAATAAGGCCACCCGGTGTTGTGGTGATGGAACATCATAAGCCTCATTTTTTATATATGGTATGGAGGCCTGAGATGCTGTGGGAAGAGTAAACCGGTGCTTGAGGGGGGAAAAAAAGAAGAATGTAATGAGAAAGTTGAAGTGATCTTAGGGCATCTGTGAGAATGTAATGAGTCTGATGGCCATTGCTGGAGGAATTCCTTTTGGGGTGTTAATTTAAAAGCTTCTGTCAAATATTCACTGAACCTAAACTTGAAAACTGCTCATTGTCTGCCTATTAAACAGATAGGGTTTATTTTTCCTATAAATCACCTTTACTAGTATTTCCACTCTATTTCAGAGATGAATTATTGATAGATTAAAGGCATTCTGCCTCACATATAGCCCAGGAAATAGAAAAGATGTGTAGTGAATCAATCCTGATCCAGATACCAACCAGATCTTTTGGCTCCCAAAAAGTAGAACAACTGAAAAGCGGTCCATGGGGTTTCTACTCCACCTTTCCTATGGGTACACAGGGCCGCCCAGAGGATTCAGGGGGCCTGGGGTCTTTGGCGGTGGGGGGCCCCCGCCGCCGAATTGCCGCCGAAGACCCGGAATTTCGGCGGCGGGTCCCGGGGCGGAAGGACCCCCCGCCACGGGTCTTCAGGGCACTTTGGCGGCGGGTCCCGGAGTGGAAGGACCCCCCGCCACCGAATTGCCGCCGAAGACCCGGAGTGGAAGAAGCTCTGGGGGCCCAGGCCCCGCGAGAGTTTTCCAGGGCCCCCGGAGCAAGTGAAGGACCCCGCTCCAGGGGCCCCGAAAAACTCTTGTGGGGGCCCTCTGGGGCCCGGGGCCTGGGGCAAATTGCCCCACTTGCCCCCCCCCCCCCCCCCCCCCGGGCGGCCCTGCGGGTACAGGAACGTAAGAACATAAGAACGGCCTTACTGGGTCAGACCACTGGTCCATCTAGCTAGTATCCTGTCTTCCGACAGTGGCCAATGCCAGGTGCCTCAGAGGGAATGAAAAGAACAGGTAATCATCAAGTGATCCATCCTCTGTCGCCCATTCCCAGCTTCTGGCAAACAGAGGCTAGGGACACTTCAGAGCATGGTTTGGCAAGACATCTGAAATGAGATTATAGTGGGTGGTAGCACCACTGTTATTAAAGTATATGGTACGATAAAGGAGGTTGGACTTCTCTCAGAAGAAGCAAGTCTGTTGTTCTCACCTCTTTCTCTGGTCCTGTCCAACTCCTAGAGCACATGAGCCTAATGAGGGTGCTCTAATGCATAGACCAGTTACAGATTTATTTCATTGTTTGTTTGAAACGTTGTTTTAAGAGACATAGGAATGAAAATACTGCCATGACTGGAGGCTGTGGATATGTTTAGTTAAAATGCTAGCAGACTGCTAATAGATACGAGCACTGGGAAAAGGATTTTTCACTCACTCCGAAACCACCCTGAATTTTGTCTATTCAGCAATGAGATGCCCTTGGGACTGCACAGTGGGTCTATAAATAAACCATTGCAACACCAAATTTCTGACCCGAAGGAGCTTCTACTGAAGCCTTATGTTGCAATAAGCCATTTAAAAATGAGAGGCAGTGTTCTTCTCCACCATATTAACAATCACACCCACCAAATTCAGAGCAACGTGGCGGAAGGACATACTGTGTGCCGGAAGGACAAGGCCCCAGCTTTTTATCTCCCTGTTTCATATTTCAGAAAGGCCTGGCTGACTGAAACGTTGGTTTCTTGTAAGGACAGGAAATAAATAAATGAACATGAATTCTGTTAGTATTCTGCAAAAGGAGCCATCTCTCTTACAAACCATCTACACTGACAGAACTATAAGAGAACAGGCTTTCTTTTTCTGCGCAGAGTAGGTAAGAAGGTAAGTAGAGTCCAGCTAAAAGGTTCTGGTTTGGCCCAAACCTACTTTCACATACAGACAATCTTATTTGGTTGATAGTAAAATGTGAATTAGTGAATATCACACTCTATTACCAGATTTGCTACAGAAAAGAAATCGCTTTGCATATTTTCAGGATCAGGCAGAGTAAGACAACAAATGGCTGACATTTTTATTGGACGAGAAGTAACAAAATTACAAGCTTTAAAATGTAGGTGGAGCATAGGGTTACCATTCGTCCGGATTCCCCCGGACATGTCCGGCTTTTTAAGCTAAAAATAGCATCCGGGGGGAATTTGCAAATGTCCGGACTTCCTCCTGATGCAGAGCCCGCGCGGCTAACAGTGGTGCCGGCCGGCCGGTGTCACTTACATGGGGCTCCGACACTCAGCCAGAGAGGGCTTCTCCTCCTCCCCCCTCCCTCCCTCCCTGCATAGCAGATCGGCTCCGGCAGTCTGGAGCTCCTCCCCAGCTGTTGCCCAGCGTGCCGGACGAGCGGCTCAGGCAGTTCCTGAGCAAGCTCACGGAGACAT